GGTTAACGGAACATTTCATTTTCTTAATTACCAAAGTTGTGGATGTGGATCTCTTTCTATTAGACCACTGACTTGGTCTAACGGCAATTTTTCACACGATTCTTTTATATCTCGAAGAAGCTAAATTAAATGAAAATACATAAATAATGTAAAAATACATAAAACTTTATGTATTTTCATTTAGTTTAGCTTCTTCGAGATATAAAAGAATCGTGTGAAAAATTGCCGTTAGATCAAGTCAGTGGTCTAATAGAAAGAGATCCACATCCACAACTTTGGTAATTAAGAAAATGAAATGTTCCGTTAACCAATGAACGACAGTATTTATATATTCTATTTTCTGAGTCAGTTTTGATGGTCCTATCCAATGGCGGTTTTGGATTCCAGCAGGCAGCTTTTATTTTTGTCCAAAACGAAATTTTTTTAAAAAAATCAAAAACCGGATATATTTTATATTCCGATCAAAAGACGTGGTTTTTGATCGAATTTGTATACAGTACCTCAAGCGAGGCATATAGCCGACCTCCATGGAATCTGAATCAGTTTTGAATCCTCTTTCGAATGGCATTTTCTGTTTTTTATTTGATTGTTAAGCGAAGGCCAGAAAAATGATTGATTGATTATATAGATCGATCGAGCTATACAAATTATCCCGGTCGGGATTTTATCACGTTTGGGATATAAGTCATGACATTGCACTACCCGTCTTTTAATTTGAAAAAGATAATAGTTTATTGTATCGCCTGTAATTTCAGGACCACTACGTATTTTGGTCTGACACAGTTTATCACAACCTGTTCATGAAATGGGCTTGCATTACTGAAAGTTTGGTTTAGATCGATAGAACGGCATTTAAAAAAGTCTGAGGAAATCTCTATGCCACGAACACGAAACAGATTTTGCTCACCGATTCCAGCTATCAACATCATTTATCGCACGCCTAGAATTAATAGTAACCCGGTCGGCTTTTGCACTGTGTCTGGCATCCCTTCGGCTTTCGATGCAAAGCATTTCTGCATCACTCACAGCTTGAATTTTTAAACCGAAGTTCAACATGTCACTGGCTACGTTCCACACTACCCACCTATGCCTCACTCTAACGATATGCAATATGAAATTTGTAATGGGTTTTTGCTCACAAACCTCCATTCATTCACAATGTTATTATCTAAACAAAAAACACTTTTTAAGTTAAATTAAGCTATGTAAAAAACTAATATTCAGATGTAAAAGATGATATCGAAATCAATACCAGTCGGTTGATCGGTTCCACACAATTATAATGAAACACTCTTCGAAGAATTGATTGCAATTGCGCTGCGCACTAGTTGCGATGTCGACAGACTTTGTCTCTGATTAAGCCTACTGTTCCAAGCAGATCCTATTAGTAGGCTCTGAGCATTGTATTTTTGCTTTGATTTACTCTTTAAACTGCTTATAAGATAAAAGAACAATGAAGAAAATTTGAAAAAGAGAGATTCTGACTAAATGGCACCGAATAAAAACTAGCAATAATAATCCAAGTCCAACGGCCATTTTGTTGCCCACTTATGGCGCTTATACCACCGAGTTTGGATCTTTAATTGAGTAAAGAACGTGCAATGGTCAGTTTTCAGTATCTATAGAACACTGTGGCTTATTCAAAAGTTCTCCACGATGAGTAGGTTGCTGGACCTTGGTGTTCTCTTTTCGCAAAAAAAGATCGTAAAGAAAATACAAAAAAACAAAATTCCCAGCATAAATGCTAAATGTCTGTCGACATAATAATCGAAATTTTCAGTTTTAAAACGAAAAACTTAACGATGATGAAGTCAGAAAAGGATGTTGTTTATTGATTGATTAGTTTCTTGTCTTGAACATTCATTTTTATCTAGAAAGTTTTTTCAAACGATTATTCTATTATATCATTCATTAGGTGTTTATTCACCGCGTTTTGCATCATTTCCTCCTCTATCATTAATCATCTGTATGTGTAAATATCCTTGGGCAACATAAATAACCATTTTCACAATTGATTGTTGTAAATCATTGTCATCATTTTATTTCATTTGATATATTTTTCTTAACTCTTTTTGAAAATGGATGAATATCGACATAATTTTTATATAAAACAATTGAATTCTACACTCTGCCATATAATAGAACAAACGTCCCGTGAAACAATCATCGAATAACGTAATATAGATAACAAACACCTTTTTATTCAAAATACACATTATTTTTAGCATTTCTAAATTGAAAATCAACATGATGGGAGAGGAGATGAACAACACATTATGCAAAAAAAAGAAGGCAAATATTAAATTATTTATAGTTTAATCGATCATTTCTACCGTCATTTCATAAAAGATCAGATCGTGTAAACATTTTTTTAATTACTGAACAAATGGTCAGGATAGAAATATTCGATTAAAATAATAAGATATTCAAGTATTTCTCTAATTTGATAAAAATCAATCGATATAAAAAATTTCCTATTTTAGATGATCAAATTTCAATTTCATTCCTTCTCACTAAATTACAATGTGAATATTAATCTTAGTTTTTTTTCCAATATTTAAAATGTTCTATTTTTTTAACTCATTAACTAATTAACGTAATCTTACAAACATCTCAGTTTCACTCGATTTAGCATGATTATTCCATTCATCTTATCAACTATCCTCATGTGAAGATGAGTGATTGAATTTTTTGATTTTTAGAAAACAGCTGAATCATTCATTCATTCATTCATTCATTTATTGTTCTGTTAAAAAGATAATTTGGTTAAGTAATTTGAAACATTGACACAATGAAGATGAAGAAAAGAAATGTTACAGACACATACACATCTGTACATATGTTCATTATAATTCAAATCAAACGTGAAATTAGTGACTAACGGTATTTGGCGGCATATTAGAAGGATGTTAATGGTATATTGCGTCGTTATATTCATCTCTACCAAGTGACATTATGTCTGTCTTTTATATATACACAAAACACAAAAAAAAAGCAATAAAGTTCAATGTAACGGTTGAGTAAAGAGACTACCATTATAAAAGCTTCTTTTTTTCTTTCTTTTTCTTCCTTTTCTTAGTTTCGATACATTCAATAGCCGGAAGTAATAACAAGAAAGATTTGAAAACATTTCTATTCAGTAGAAGGCGGGACATTTTTCTTGTAAACCATTATTGACTGATAAATATTTTCAAGTAAATAATCATAACGTATAGGATCCTTGATATATAATTACATTGAACAATTTTAAAACACGTTGTTAAAATAAAATAAAAATAGTTAGCTCATTTATCATTTACACATGTGTCTATGTAACCGAAGAAAGGTATAATATCATTTAAAAAGACATTAACAATTTTTTTTTATTTTCTTTCTCTTTTTTTTCGTTTTTTGATATCAACAGAATTATGAACTGTTTTAACAGAAAATTAATTAACAATCTTTAGCAATAAAAAAAATTTTAAAGATAAAAAGATGGAAAATAAATGAGTATTTTGAAAGATATGATCATATCAATTATTATTATTAGTCAATGTTTAAAAAGTCTCAAATTTATTTTATATATTACTCGATGAGTTGTTAATAACAAAAATTCATTTAAAATAATCTTTTTTTGTAATAATTTTCTCTAATATTATGTATTTTATTTTTTTTTTTTTTTATTAAATCTGTGAAAACTCTAAATATAAATAAAATATGGAAATTGGAAAAATGAACAATATGAAGAAGTTCAAGGTTCAATATGATTGAATGTTCACTTTCGTTTATAATAATATTAAATATTTTTCAAGTTAATTGAACTATACTTTAGTAGATATAAATTTTTTATTTGTTTTTTTGCTTCAATATTGTTAAATATAAGTACAAACTTCCCATCTACGATTGAAAATGGCAATGAGAAACGAGAATGTCACTGTTCTTTTTTTTCATGCATTAAAATTGATTATCAAAAAAAAAGAAGAAGAAGAAGAAAAAAAAAACCTCTTCTATTTCTTTCTGCTCAATAATACCAGCAGCAATTCCTCTTTTATTTTATTTTTTTTTTACTTTATATCGTTGGAAACAAGCTTTTGAACAATCTGAATTTTGTTATTTTTTTTTCTTCGTCCTTTTTCTGTAAAATTTGACTATCTGTCTGTATAGAGTTGTATTGAATTTCTATATATAGAACAATTGTGGATTTATTTCAATTGCCTAAATTTTCATACTAATCCCTGACAAACATGTAGACTATAAAAAGAAAGCTTGATTTTCTTCCCTATTTTTTTTTTTCTTTTTTGTATATATTGCGTGGTTCAAGAAGAAAGCGTGCGACTTTATAAGAATTGTACCGACTGATCCAAAAAATTTTAATGATACAATGAATAAAAGATGTAACGATTATTAACTTGACGACATAAACATGCATATTAAAATTGTAAAAAAGGACTTAGTTTATTAGTCTGACTCACGCAACCATATATTTATTATCTTTATTAGGATTGATAGACAAAAAAAAAACAACAACAGAGACATAGTCCAAGACATGAAATGATCAATTCATGCAAAGATTTTTAAATCATCTATATTGATTGAAATAAAATGTTTTTGAATATTTTAATTCTAATTTTAATAGAATTTCTAAAGAATTGTACACTACTGTTGGACAATAACAAATTGTGTAGTGATGTTAGGAATGCTTATACTATTTGTAATACTTTTTTGGGATATTGATGATATTTCATTTGTAACTGATACTGTAAAAATATTTGAAAATTGATGCTCTCTACCTTTCACTAGAACCGTATAACGATGATGTGATGATGACTGACACACTTTTTAGTATGAATTAACGGTTCTCATATTCTTTGTTCATATGAACGTCAATTGAACATTCATAAGTGGCATACACGAACAGAAAAAGAAAAAAAAAAACAGAAAAGAAAAAGTTATCCATATTAAGTAGAAGAGAAAACGAAAAGGAAGAAGAAAAAAAAACACACACACAAATCTTCTTTTCTTCTTTCTGATTATTCCGCCTCTAGTTTGTTGTGGTAATATGAACAATCAGGTCGAATGAATATACTTCCATACAGATTATTTACATTTTAATAGTGAAAACTCACGCAATCGATAACAAAAAAAGTTTCGTTTACTTCAAAACATCACCATCACCAAAAAATTTGTTCAACTATACATAATACAGAAAGATTGACACACTTCACTATTCTATTGTCGATTTCAAATAAAGTTGTCAACAGGTATGTATCGAGTTTTAACATATTACATTTTCCGATGAAATATTGCTAAGTGGCAAAAAAGAAAGTGCAAGATGATCAGAAGATTTTGTCTAATATTCGTACTAGAATTGAGTAAAGAAATCTCGATCGTCAATCTGATTACTAGATTTCAATTCCATACTATCATTTTCAATTGTAGATTTTTAGTAGATTTTTTTATCATTTCGAATAGGAAGAGACTAAAAGAATTTGAATAATAAATGTGTCCTTTGATGCTCGATGGACACTATAACTTAATTTTTTTGTTGTTCAAAAAGACAAAGTTTAGACAAGATACCAACAGTTTAATGGAAATATGTCATTTACTAAGAAACCACAAAGTTTTTCCATATTTTTGAGATTAAAGATCTTTGTTAGTAGGTTGAGAGACGTAACATCCCTTTCTTTCGTACACGACATATTGCTTGTGGATGACTTTCTTTTGTTGGTACAAATATATGTGTGTTTTGTAAGAATTAGAAGAGATGAGAGAAAATGAATACAAATGAGCAACAAATTACATATTTGATAAGAGAAATAGAACTGTTTCATATGAAATGGAAATGAGAATGAGAGAGTGTGTATAGTTCATTTATTTGTTGTCTCAATAAAGTACACATATCAATACGAGTCAAAGTTCGTACATGCTTACAAATGATGCCATCACATACGTATTTTTGGATAAGTGTTATTATTCACCATATGTATAAAAAAAAAAATTAAAAAGAAAAAGCTTAATAAAACAAATCAGCTGGGATATATTCATCAAGTAATGAACAATTAGTGTTTAAACATTAAAGATAACGATCATCATCATTATTATTATTATTATTATTATTAAACCTATATGCTTATATTATATTTTCAATAAGCGATGGGCGTAAATGGGTCAGTATAAAACAATAAATAAGTAATTAAGTATGGCATTGATGATGACAGAATGAGAGAGAAAGGATAAATATACGCTGATTTGTTTGAAATAAAGAAATACATATAGCGGACGATATTATACATTTTGTTTTATAAACTTTAGCGTTTAGGAAACTACATTAAACTATTGTACGATTCAACTTATCAATAATTTAAAAAGAATAAAAATATATTTCTTTAAACATTTCAAAACGAATGTTGAACAATATCAATCAAAAAAAGTATTTATTCAATGCATTGTTAAACCATATCTACAAGTGAAGAAAAACAAAAAATATATGAAGATTTCTATTTTGATATTGTTAATTCAAGATAATCATTTCAAATCGCGAACAGACTAAAGTGATTCGACATTGAATAATCATAATTTTTTCAGATATGAATAATAGTTTTGACATGTGCGTATATTCGATACTATTGATCAACTCAATGATTTGTTGCCATTTTATTTTTTTTATCCATTGATATACATATGTAATTCTGAATTTTTACAAGCACTAGTTGTGCTTATACTATGCCAAAATGATTTTTTATTGCCCGTGCATTAGAAATATATTTAAAATGGGCTCATTGTCATACTTTTGTGTTTCTCTTAGTCTTTGTTTTATAGTGGAGACTCTTAGACATAACTACTCATGCTCGCTTCTGTCATCGTCATGTGTCTATATTTGATGGTGAGGTCAATGACCTAATATATAGAGGGAATGGGGCGCATCCGTACAAGTGTGCCTTTCTTATTTTTTTTATAAAAAAACCAAACAAACTTTGAAGCTTAATTTAATTCAGAAACATAGAGTGAATAGTCATTTAATGGAATAAGAAATAATAGAACGAGAGAAACACACACAGAGAGAGGGAGAGAGAGAGAGAGAGAAATGAATTTAACTGTTATTTGTTAGCCACTTCCTTTTTTTTCCGCATAAAGTCAGTATAGTATAATTGAAATTCAGAATAAGCATTGAAACAATTTGAACTTAAAAGAAAAAGAGCAGCTGTTTGTTCAACTCGTTAGAAACAGTTAAAAATTGATTAGTAGATCAATACAGTCAAAAAAATGTCCAATATGAAGAACGTAAGTTAGTAGTCGTTAAATATAATGATTTCAATTAAAACTGGTTTGTAAAGAACATTGATTCCATTCGTTTTATATGGAGTCAACACTATCTTGCACGATCGATTAATTTCATGCTCTAGCAAGTTTTCAGCTTTCAGAACTTTAAGTCAATATAAATAACTCTTTGTGACAAGGAAAAGCATTATCCGAGAAAATAAGAGTGTGGAAAAAAAGATACTGTATAAAATGGAAAATTTTTTTGTAATTCAAATATTTCAAAAATGTTTTGAAATCGATTTATCTTGATACTAATTATTTTAACAGAATGAAATAGTTTATTTGTGCATAACGAATATCGTTTACTTTTTCACATATAAAACTCCTATGTCCCTAGATTGTATTCTCACAATGTGTGAGGTTTTCCATTTGTTTTGAATAGAAACAAACTGTTGAAGTACATCAACTAGAAATGAACGCACGAATGATAATAACTGAAAACTTTCATTAAAGAAGTTTAATCAGTCTTTGTCTCTCTTTCATTCTTTTAACCGTTATGCCATATGTGTATATAAAAAGAAATTGTTCTTTTACTCAGTAGGGTATCATTTAAACAATATATCTCCCTATCCTCTCATTAATTTGATTGTGTTGATTAGTTTTTGATGCGAGCATCATAATACTCATGTTGTTAATCAGTCAAATACGCTGCTATACACAGTCATTGTTTTCTTGTACATTTACAACTTCTACTTTTCATTTTTCTTTTCTTATATTTTTGTTTAAGATACAATATAGTCCATCAAAACTGTCATATTGAGTAGATGATAACAATAATACAAAAATAGTATAAAAGAAAAAAAATGGCAAATACTATGAACATATTTTATACATAAATGATAGATAAACAATAAACACACACGTTGTTGTGTATTCAAGTGCCACAGAGAAGAAGAAAAAACAAAAGGACTTGATCTGAGACTAAAGCTTCTTTAGTTATTCTACTTGCCTCTATAGAGATGATGTCAAAAAAATGTATGTATAATAATGTTCTCAGTGGTATTGTGACATTTTCTATTTCAATGAAAATTTATGTTTAGTAATTCTTTTGAACTATTCATTATCTAAACTATTATAAAATTTTGAAATAATAATGAAAGACTTATTTTTCAACTTCATAAGTTTTTAATTAGATCTTGTCATCTGTTAGTGACATTGAATAAAGCAGTTGAATTTAAAGTAATTAGGAGAGACTCTATTGAATGAACAACACCAATGTTACTTTATATTCCTTTTAATCCACTAACTTCCGATCAATGTCATGTATTCACCATCTTCTTTAATTGATTGAACAGTTGATCAATAACATCAACTCTTTAACAAAAAAAAAAATGATTCGTATCAAATCATCTCTGCATATTTTCTCCCCTTTTTCTTACCCCCCTCCCATATCGTATAACAATGAGTGAATAATATTCGAGGTCAAGAAATCAAGGTTTTTCTTTTTTGTCAGTAAGAACGGTAAATCGGATGATGAGTGCCGGAAGATAATCGAGTTGATTAGTCTAATGTGAAATGACTAAAGTCAATCGATAACATTCATCAAATAATCATCAAATGGTTAGGAAAAATGAGAGAAAAGAAAGACAATTATCATCATCATTAGTATTGTGGAAACTCAGCTAGAGTCTACAGACATATAAGGAAACATACAAAAATCTATCATTTGAGAATAATTTCTATATAATTAAATTAATTAGTTTTAGATAATTTGCTTTGTTTTCATAGAAGAAAGACAGAGAGAAAGAGAAAAAAAGAAAAAGACAAAGAAAAGAGACTAACTTTTGATGAGCCTTTGGTTATAAGTAAATCGGACACATACATAGATATCAATCACATACACATGTTAATGTAAATTTTATTGCGCAAGCTCAAAACGTATCTACATATTCATGTTGAAGGTGCAACAATAATCATATTGTTTAAACGCTAATATATATAAATATAAATATAAAGTAGCGTGTGTTAAACAAAAAAAGAAAAAGAAAGAAATCACTAGCACATTTTCTACTTCCGGCCTATTTAAACCATAATTATCGAATGAAAAGAATAACAGAAGAAGAGAAGAACAAAAAAAAAAAGATTTAATAATTTCTTCAAAACAATATATATCCGAATAATTACAACATTAATAAATGTTTTTCATATATGACAGAACAACACATTACATAATACGAGATTTAGAGTAATAGTAACAATAAGAATCTATTAATTGTTCTTGTGAAAGAATTTCTATAAAAATTTATTGGTAAGTAGGAAGAAATTTATTATGTTTTAAAAAAATTCTTCAACTTTTCCATACTACTATTCATTTATTACTATTCAGTGAGTGTTAATCTGTACAATGATGATAATTTAGTTACCATTGTTCTCTATTCTGGAAAATAAACTCAATGTAGAGAATAGAAAGAGAGAATATGTTCTATGTTTTTTGAAAACTTTAACATCATTCATCGAATTTTGAACAAATTTTTCATTTATAGTCAAACTCTTCTTTTTGTTTTTAACTGAATATATACTACTGATCATGTTTTTTTTTGTTGTTTTTTTTTATAAATGTAATCTTTTATTTGTTTGTAGATTTGAATGATTCAAACAATAATACTCTGTATTTATTATTTATTAAACAAATATGTTCTATCGATACCTTCTACTATTGATTATATTTGATTTTATTCAACAATTTATTGTTGGTACTGCCACTGCTATTACCACAAATACATGGAATTGTTCATTTATTAATAGAGAACCATTTTCATTGTTTTATCGTGAACATAAAATAAATAATGATAATAATGAATATTTAGAAAATCAATGTCAAATAACAATTGACTATGATAGTGATAATAAATGGAATAGATGTGATAAATTATGGATAAATAATAATAATAATAATAATAACAAAAAATCTATTAATTTAAATCAAATAATAGTCAATTTAATTCAAACAACAAATATAAAACTAAAACGAATTATAGCCATTAAACTTTTTTCATGTTCAATAAACAATATGGATGATTTATTATTAATAAATAAAAGAAATTATATAAAAAATTTAATATCAACAATTGAATATCTCGATTTAACACACAATAATATTCGAAAATTATCATCATTATCATTATTTCCACAATTAAAATATCTTTATCTAGGTAAGTTTAGAAAGTTTTTACAACAAAAAGATAAAATTGTTGAATAGTACTCGTTCATGGGAGAGGAAAAACAACAACAACAACAACGAAATTTTATATATATATATATTTTTTTTTTGTATATTTAGATTATAATCATATTGAACAAGATGATTCAATTGATAGTAAAAATATGAACAATAATTTAATTAGTCTCAGTTTACGTGGAAATAAAAATTTAGTTTTTACTAATAGTCAATTTTTTAGTTTTTATTCAAAATTAACCATGTTAGATATAAGTGATTGTAATTTAAAATTATTACCTAAAACATTATTTGAAAATTTAACAAAATTAAATTATTTATCATTAAAAAATAATTTTCTTGATCATTTACCTATATTACCCGATAAATTAGATTATCTTGATCTTTCTTATAATAAATTTAATCATATTGATTTAATAATTTTAAAATTAAATAATTTACATACACTTCATTTAAAATATAATCAAATACGTTCATTAGAATTTCTTAAATATCATCAACAACAACATTCCAATGAACATATAAATAATACAATTGATCAAGATAATAACGTAAGTAATAAATGATTATTTCATTAAAATCGTCTATCATGTGCAAATAGATTGAATTTTATTTATCTTGTGAGAGAGAATGTACACGAATATATAAAATGTTAGAAATTTTTATTCATTTTCATTTTTTTATTTTGTCTTAATTTTAAAATATTAGCATTCAACACTAGAACAGAATTCATAGAATAAGAAGCATAGATTAACTATCATGAATAAAATCAAAAGAAAATTTCATTTAGATTAATAAAAAAAGTACTAATAAATCTTAATTATTATGTTTTTTTTTTTGTTTAGGTCTATTCACACTATTTACGTCTATCGTTACATGGTAATCCTTTACTATGTGATTGTTGGATGACAAATTTTTATGATAATTATTATGGTGGCGATAGTGGCAATGAATTAGACAACAATAAACCATATCAAAATCAAATAATCATAAGTGATTTAGAAATATTAAAATGTCAATTAATTTTACCATATAACAATAATAAAATATCATCAATATTGACCTATAAATTATTTTCTGAATTAGAAAAATCTGATCTTTTATGTTCATATGATCAATATTGTTTTATTGATTGTTCATGTTGTGATTTTGTTGCATGTGATTGTAATAATATTTGTCCAAATGATTGTTCATGTTATCATAATATAAATTGGTCTAGAAATATTGTTAATTGTTCACAAGCAAATTTAACTGATATACCACAATTATTACCAGAAAAAGTAACAGAATTATCTTATGAATCAAATAATATTCAAACAATTAAATCCTATGTATTTGTAGGAAAAACATCATTATTATCATTAAATTTAGCTCATAATAATTTAACTCATTTTGATAATAATACATTTTGTACTATACCAAATTTAGAATATCTTGATTTAACTCATAATCCAATTATATTAGATAATTTTGATATATTTAAATGTTTAGAACATTTACATGTTATTATATTATCACATGAACAATTAAAAAATCAAACAAATACATTATTACCTTATCCATGGAATATTTATTCAACAAATCAATATTTAAATTTATTTCGACTATCATCAAATATTACAACATTGTCTAAACGAATTATTTCACTTTATAATTTTACAAATCAACTTCAAATTAATAATAATGTTAAACGTGAACGTACAGCTAATAAAGGTAGATAACATGTGTTTTTTTGAGTTTAAAATTGAGTTAATTACACTTTTTTCTTGTTGTTTTTTTTCTTTATAGAAATACTAACAACAAATCCATTCGTTGCTTATTCATCATCAATTGTCAATCAAAATTTAACTACTATATCCAATAATTCTGATCGTAAACGTCTTTCTCAACCATTTTTATATAAAAGTTATTATTCTCCAACGTTTGACACAACAAAATGTTCGGATATTCTAACAACAATATCGTCTATAAATCCAATTTCATTTATTCATCAAAATCAAACAATATTTTTTATTCTATTTTTTCTATTAATTTTAATAATGACTTGTTTAATTCTTCTTCTATGTCTATCGTATTGTACACGAAAAAAATTAGATATGAAACGTCATCATCTAAATATTGAATTACGTTCTGATCATCCTATTCATCATATTCCTCAAACGGGTGATATTCGAATGTATAATACATATTATAAAAAAATAAATCAAAATCAAAATAATCAAGATAGTTTATATGAACAATTACCATCATCATCGTCAGATAATAGTGAAAGACAATTTTTATCTTCGAAAAATATTTATGAAAAATATGAATCACCACCATTATGTTGTGATCATCATCGAAAATTTTTTAAACAACCTATTCCATCGTCTTGTAGTCATCATGAATATCAATATGCTTCATTTGAACAAGATTCTCTCTCTTCAACGCAATTGAACAGTATTCATCACCCTCTTCAACAGCAGCAGCTACAACAACAACAACCACAACAACAGTGTGCTATTTTACTATGGGCAAACCGTTTATTTTATACAATTGGCCAACAAACAAATCGAAATGCCAATGATTATAATCAGTCTTGTCCAAGTGAATTACATCATCTACAAGTCTGTCTTCTAAACAATAACACAAAAAAACTAGACTCATTAAATAGAATAAGAACGAATAATATTGCAAGATATTGTGACAATGATCATTTATCTCGAAAACAAATCACACAATCAAAAATTCACAGATAATAATTATAGCTTTTTTGGTAAATAAAATGTGTATACCTCTCAGAAACAGAGAATCTCTCTATCGGTATTAACTCATAATGAATGACATAAACTAATTCGAACGGGTTCATTTTTACGTAGAATGAAAGCATTTGTGACTAAATAAGTCGTTCAAAATGTAGAATACATATTTCTCTACAACATAAGGTGTTTGTAAGCTTTGTATGATTTTTGCTTGTAATTCTGCACTTACATATTCAATAGCAAACACCTAATCGAACCTGTTTATTCTATATTTCGACATAATAAAAAAGTTCTCTTCCTTCTTGTCCACTTATTTGTTACAATGGAAAAATCAGACACTAGACTGGTAACATGGATCTAGGGACCGAGTTTGGCTAGCATTTAAACGAGTTTAATTTAAATAGATAAAGTAAAGTTTTTGAATATCTTTCTGGTTTGATCATCTTCAAAGTTTTGTCGATCTCTATTCATTAGTTTTTCCTTGTATTTATTTTCAAACAGGAGATATGAAAGGACAGGAGAAAAGAAACATTGAACATATGAGAAAAAAAGAATACATAAAAAGGAAAATATTTCTTGAATAGAGAAAGAGCGCATTGTCTCTGTATTTATTTATTAGTTTTTTAAACTCTTTTTTACAAAACAAAACAAAAACAGAAATGAATCAGCAGCCATTAGAGTAGGCTACACACAAATACACACGTAAATTGACAATGGAAAAAATGTTAGTGTTAATGTATACAAGCAGAATTATTGAGTAAAACAGAAACTAATATGAGGTCTACGATATTTCGCATTAATAAAAGAGACAAAAAATATCCTAGAGTATAAAAATACCCAAACTCGAAATATCTATAGAGATTCAATATGAACTACTTCGCAACAAAACATAGAACAAAAAAGAATCAGAGAAAATAATACCTAATACAAGAATGCATCAATGGAACCTCTTTTATTTCAATACAATGTCTGTTTGTACGTTGTTAAAAGCAGTGAAAAAGAAAATAGAAATCAAATGAATTTAAGCAGCTGGAGCGGGTGGTGCTGATGGAGTAATTTGTATTAAATCACCATGAACACGAAAACGATACACGCATGTATAATTTGGATTACCCCAATTTGATGTTACTTGAATTTCAATATATTCACACGTTGGAACGGGACTAATCTACAAAAAGAAGCAAGAGTCATAATAAATATTACACTTGTTCCGGAATACATGAAGCATGTTTCTAAAATACAATCAAGTATTTTTTCGACAAAAAACAACTTTTTTTGAATTTGTATTATAAATGTTCGGTGGTACCAAGAAAGTATCAACAAATCACGCATCTCTACATTCTAAGATCGATTGCCTTTTATTGTATTTCGAACTTACTTGAGGTTTGAATCGCTGCAGAGCTGGACCATTTTCAGTGTCATAATAATAGCGTCCAAGAACAGTCCCTTCTTTATCATGTTTATCACGAAGTGCCTAAAAACCAAATTCGAAAATATGTTAATTAATATTTTATTTAATCAAAACAAAAAACTTACATAAATGGTAAAATTTTTCGGCGCACTATTAACATGACCAACAATTGATATTCGTTTTGATAAATGTTCAAGTACAAATTCTGTTGGTACAACTGGTACAGCTAATTTAATAACAATACTTCCTTGATCACCTTTGAATGGAAAACATTGACCAGGAAGACGACCAGGCTAAATGAAAATTTAATATATTCTAGTAATGTTTTTGAACGATTTTTTTTTCTTTTCAACTTACTCGAAGCATGATATCTGGTTGTTTTGACATATGTGCCACTGGTATACCAAGAAATTTGACAACGTTTTGCCGTGGTTCATCGGCATATTCTGTACAACGAGTATCAACAACTTTTGCTCCTAAAACGAATAAAAGTACATTAGTAGTTCTTAGCCTATACAAAACAAGACACTATTTACCATTTGATTCCAAAGCATAATCCGGTTCACCAATCTCATCAGCCGAATAGTCATCTAGCATTTGTCGAACCATCTATTCAAAAGAAAAAGAATCGATTAGATATCTCAATTTAACAGTAGGAAACGTTTCTACGAATAGCTCACAAACCACAGTTTTACACAGATGTTATCCACTCAAACAAAAAGACTTTTTTCTTAGATTATGTCAAGAAAAATTCAGAATCAGGAAATAAACTAAACTTCGCGGCAATATATCAAAAAAACGATAAAATTAAATGCTAATTAAGTAAAACACAATACGAGGTGTGAGAGACTAGTCGTGCCCTCCAGCTATTTTGATAAGTTTAGCACTTCGATTAGCAATTACTTGCGCAGTATCAATGTACAGAACAGTCACGAACATTTTTCATTAAATATAAAATATTTACCTCCTCGAGTTCTTTCTCTTGTGTCTGAGTTAAAACATGACGTCTAAACAAGTGAAAATAAATAATAAATAAACTGACAACTGAGCAATTTTTGGGGAAATTGACTTACGGTCCCAAAACTTTTTCTCGTTCCTTTTTCAAATCTTCAATGACAGTATTCATTTTTTTCAAACCGGCATCACAATATTGTTTTGCATTATCAGTTGTTGAGTCGTAAACATCGGCTACTTTTCCTTTCACCTCCCCAACAGATGTTTTCAATAATTTTTTTCCACTATAATAAACATCTTCTAAGCTACTATAAATGGAGTCTCTCAGATCATTTGCTGTTCGACTTCCACGACGTATGCCATGCTTTACCCGATCGTAGGTATTATGACGGGCAAAATTATATGTATTATTTGTCAGTGACGATGTAAAGTTCTAAACAGAAAACATACAAACTACTGATAAAAGAAGGATGATACACTTACCTTCACTCCGGAACATAAAGCATATGGAAGTGATTGTGGATAATGTTCAACGCGTCTGCAGACTAACCATGGTACTAAACGAAGAAAAATAAATGATATACGATAGTTTTAACGTTGGTCACTCAAAATACTTACCAGCATATAAAGCAAGTAATAGAATGAGAGGTATTAATAACCAAAATGGTAACGATCCAATGGCATGAAATATACTTTTAAAAAAATCCATTGGTGAATGAATTATATTTCTAAAATAACGTTTCACTTTTCCTACTAAAGTACCATCGTTTTCCCGATCATCATAATCGTGATCACGATCATCTCGATATTTGTGAGATGATTGTTGTTCTTGCTGTTGATATCGTTTATTTCTGTCGTATTCGCTAGTGCTGTAGTCTGCTTCTTGTTGTTGAGAATACTTTTGTTGTTGTCGTTGTCGTACTTCATTTTCCTCATTTTCACGTGGTGTACTATGCACCGGTCTTGAACGTAAATTATATCCTGTCGATGACGAGCCGACTGTATTTCGACTATTACTCGTTGATGATTGAGACGATGTACGAGTATAACGTGAACCACCGGTTGTTTGATGTTGCTCATTGTCGAATAAATCAGATTGTTGTGGTTGCTGTTGATTTTGCTGATGGGATTTACCAGAAACGAATGCTGAAAAACGATCAGCAATTTGAGTACGAACATTTGACATGAATCGTTGAGGTGACGAAAAAGCACCACTACCGCCATTAATACCATTTTCTAAATGAAAAAGACCGAATTGTCAGAGATCACTCTTGATACTCGATTAACTTCTCTTAATATTACCTCCATGTAAATTACGTCGAGCCATCACCGGCACTTCATATGTTCCATTTTGAGTTACTGGCATATACGATACACTAAAGTTAAAAGTCAACATTAATTTCAGGAGTAGAATTTCCTACTGTAATATTCAAGGACAATGATAGAAAGAGTGATCTTTTTTACGATTTAAGAATGCAGTTAAAAAGCTTGTATTACTTACGAATGAGCGTATGTGTATGTTGTTTGAGGTAAACCACTAAAAAATTAACAATCAATAAAATATCTTTGAACTACAATACACAAGAATTACATACTCAGTTGGAGATCTTGTTTTTTCTAAAACTTCATTAACATTCATTGTTGGTCCAGTACGTGTTGATCTTAAATCTGTTCTCATTTCTGTTTCAATATACATTGGACGACGTGGTGTTGTCGTTATGGTTGACGACGACGATCGGGACGTTGTTGAGCGTTGAACGCTGCCTACTTCGACTAGATCATCTTCATCAATTATATCGTTATCTTTTATCATTGTGCTCAAGCTTTTTTGCCTTTAAAAGAGATGCTAAATGTTCACTCACACAAGAATAGATTTGAATCTAAAATGTAAAAATACGAATACAATAGTCGAGGTGAAAGTCTCAAAAAGCCAATTAATAATAAGAAAGAAAAATGATTATACTAGAGCATTTAACGAAAAAGGATGAAAATGAAATGTTCCTACTGAGAGGTAAAAGAAAAGAAGAAAGATGCAGACTATTTAGGATTTCACAAAAAAAAGTTAAGTGTCTAAAGATGATCATAATTCTATTAAAACCGCGTGTGTTAATTTGTAACTGTTCAAATCATGAGAGAAATAAATCTTACTCACAAATATATTTTTCCATAGCATCAGACGGAATTCAACGTGAAAAAAGTGAGAATAAGTAGGAAAAACCGCAGTGTATCTTCAAAGAATAAAGGTGTACATCGAATTGGTGAACACGACAGACGTTTTTCTTTCTAAAAAGTGGCATAATTCAAATAAAAACGAACACTAGACGGAACGCAGCTTTTCTAAGTTGATAATACTTACTCTCTTGTGTACAACGGTATGTATTTGCTTGGCATTACTACAAGCCAAAATACATCATTTTTTCCTTTCACTATTCAATTCAGTGTGACTCATAGAATTTTCAATGAATCATTAATAACTAGCTACTTTCAAAATTCTTTCGACAAAAAGAAAAACTATATAAGTCACACAAAATTATTGAGTATTTTTTCTTCTTTTTTGTGTATATAGAAAGACGATATGATAATCTGATCTAATTGAATAAACACACGAAATCAAATTCATCTTTTTTCAAATCATAGACACTGACCTCTATTGCAATAAACCATGACTGTTCAATGTATTATATGTTCAGGAGTTCAAAAGACGATAGAATGAAAGGAAATAAATTTTATGCGCTATTCCCCCTCCCCCATCAAGTTCAAGGTTCTCGTTGCGTGTTTTTCTTCGTTAGTTCTTTGTTTCGAGAGTGCTTCTAAACAGCCTCGTCCAACAAGGACGTCGTCGTATTCGAATACATCACATTACTCTATAGACTATGTTAAGAATAAGAAAAAAAAGGAAAAGAAAACGAAGAAAAATGGTAGAATATGTATGAAGGTAACAGAAATATTCATCTCGATAAAATTGGACATATGTCTATAATTCACATTCTCATCATTATTAATATGAACTGACAGTAATTATAGAGAGAAGATGAGAACGATTGAAAAATAAATAAGAAAAGGCGTAAAATGAATTCGAATCGCTATTTTGTCTAAGAAGGTTCAATCCACTCTAAAAATTTTACCTGTACTTTTACTACTATAGAAGATGATCGGATTTGTTCTATCTTTTTTTTATTGTTAGAAATGTTTTATTCAGACTAAAAAAGCTCTCTCCTTATACCCACAACATCCATCGTTTGTTTAAGCGTGTGTCTATCATCACAAGAACACGAAACAGGTGGTGTGTGTTGTACATCATTACAATTGCATACAGAGACAAGTTTAGGCATCGTAGTTCTATCGATGAAACATACTTCTTAATCAAAGGTGTAGTGGATCCCCACAATCTTCAGTTCGAGAAAAGGTTAATTGAACATTACTCTCGTTTTAAAATAGGTGATAGATCAATCTTTTAAAAAACATGATCAATTGGTTCATACAACACATCACTTCACTTTCTATTGTTTATGTTTTTCCTTTTATCTTCGATGCGAGAAAACTAAAATCGTCATAACTATTCAGATCTATACAGTTTACTCCGTTGATTGATACTTCATTCATCGCTTTTGGACAGTTAAACTTGCATTGACTATGATTCTCGAACAAAAGTGTTCCAGCAAAAATGTCTAACTACTTTAGCTGATGTATCGATCAATATTCAATCAAAACTTATTTTCATGACAAAACCCGGTCTGATTTTGGCTGCCTCTCAAACAGAATAAATAAAACGAGAAGAATATATTGAGACAACTAATATTTGCAAGAAAAATAAGAAAGTCTGAAAATCACAACATACTGGGTTAGTTAAGAAGCTTTGCATTTAACAGAAAACATTTAAAAGTCAGTTGGTTCGAATGACCTGACAATTTCATATCCAGAGATATACGCCCAATTCTTAACCAACTCAATAAAAGATGGTTTGTTAAAGTACATAAGAAGTTCGCTTTTTAGTCTTAAATTTCGATAATACTACAAAAATGATCTTTCTTTCACTAAATCATAAGTATCGATAATGAAACAATTTTCTAAGATGTAAAAACAGAATGTTCTGATTTGAAAAGAGCACTTTAGCAGATCTCTCTCTATTCTGTTTTGTAAAAGAATTGCACTAAAACAGAAGTGCTGCGGTCAATTTTAGACCATCTGAGTATATTACTGAATATATAGTCAATTCTTTCTCTTTTAAAAAGTCCACAGGCATCTGATTCAATCTTGGTCTATAGTGCAATGAAGAAGTTCAGAAAAAAAGTAATCCTTAGCGGGATCGATATCTCTATATGCTATTTATAGTCTACTAAAATGAATAGATCATAACTATTTTGATTGTTTTCGACTTGAGTACATCGTTATGTATGTGTATTCGTATGATTGTGTCAATCGACAAAAAATGCCGGAGTGTGAGGTGACAACATTTTTCAAGCTGTCACTCTCTCATTCATGTTTACTTATTCTTGTTTTTGAATGCGAGGAGAATAGAGGAAAAGTATATTCATTTAATAAAATAACAGACACATTAAGGCAGTATATAATCTCATCAAAACTACTGGAATACTACTGTCCGATCTCGAAAGGCTCAGTATCTACGAGACAAAACAGAACGATACGTCATTATATTTCCGAGTATATCATCATGTCTATAGAGGTTTTTTTGCTTAACGGCTTACCCACCTAACTCTATTATCGTAGCAAAGTTCCAACACGTCTAGAACTACCTTAAGTTGGAAGAGAAAAGTCAAGGGAATGCTATGAAACGTTTCCACTCTTTATATAGTTTTCCCTGAAAAGTGTGAGAAAAATACAACTACACACTTTTAGAAATATCATAAAAAAACAGAAAATAAAACCTCATTTAATCTTTGCTTACTCTGAAATTTACATTGGGTGAAGTAGCTGTACGACAAAGTCTAAAAAAGTGCAAGAAACAAGCACATTTTTCCACATTCGGCCATTGCTTCTTCTGCTGTACAATAAATGTCTGTTGACCACATAACTTCTGGAAAACATTCGTGTTCCTTAGTTAATCATCGAAACAACCACAAAGCGAATAGGAAACAGAGACTTAAACCTCTAAATTAATGAAAACATTTTACTTTTCACGATCGTGAAATATAGTTCCAATTATTACACCAGCTAAGAAATCTTTTCTCATTTGAGATGATGACTTAGAGTGTTAACCAGTATGAAGCAGTGACGCGTCTAACGTGAGTTCTTTCATGACATCTATACCAATGGAAAAATGAATGATAGTTTTTTACATTCGTTCGATACCTTAAGTTTTAATTGCTTTGAAAAAACGAGCTTAAGCTAAATTTTCGAATTTTAGATGTCGCTTTTGTCGGTCAAGTAACACTTTCAGATGTGCTAGCATTTCTCTCTTCTTTTTATGTTGTTGGAATAACAAACCAAATTAATTAGTCAACATAGTCACGTGACTGAAGATAAAAAAATTGAAAAATTTGAATAAATTATAATCAAATTTAAAACAATTGTTTTAGCATTAAAGATAGAAGAGCAATTTTTAAAAAAGAATTATTGTAACAGGAGAAATATATATGACATGACAAGTGAAGGTCGAAAACTCGTAAGTCCTAATTAATATTTGTCCTACATCGCACGCTGGAATAAAATAGTATGATCTAACTAAATTATCACTGAATTTTCACCGATGGAAATGGTCTGTTCCAGGAAGAAGTGTGTAAAAATGTGCATAATAGATTCATTTTGCAGTAACTCTTTCTCTCTAAGATTATATTGAATGTAATTCTGTACATATTTGAGACTCTAGTTTAAGTTGAAAGAGGAATTTTGCTGTTTAAACAAAGATGAGCTTATAGAAGAACGATTCTCGTGTTCGAATGTGAAAAGGTTAATTTGTAAATAACGTATAAAAATGTATAGACTAGATATCCATAGTGGAAGAAGGAGAAGAAACAAGAACAAATATAAAAGAAAAGAAAAACACAAAAACCACAAAAAAAGCATTGGTGGTTTAGTTATTTCAAAAAAGAATAAATAAATAGTTCTTTTTGGAAATTGTCAGATATCCACTAGTTTTATTTTTTAAAATTATGATTAATACAGTTCAAAGATAGTTTACATCTTCTATTGATTAGCATTCAGCTATCATTGCAATCATTTACTTATTTACATATTTCAAGCTTGATCGGACAAATGAATATTTGATGATAAACGATTAAAATTATCAAAAAAAAAATTTTGAAAATCCATTGATTTCCAAAACTATACTGCTGAATGTTTTATATGTTTCTCAATATCTTCTCGATCAATTCAACATGAAAATATTTTGTTCGAAAAAGATACTTAACAGTAAATAATAGCTATTATTAATGGAGTATCACGATTCATCAGTACGATATTTTTGCTTATTCTTTATTCTAAAGAATAAAATGAAAACTTTAGGAAAAAAACAAATTTTGTCGCATTTCAGACTTGTCTGACGACTGTTGATTTTTTCATGAGACATTTAGCATTCACTCGTTATTGACGCTATATAGTCAGTAAAGATTAGAAAAACGAAAGAAAGAAAAGAATAAAAAACTAATAGAAACCACTGCGACACATACGGTTTCACTCTAGAGATAAATTTTGTCAACAAATATTTTCGGCAAAATTCATCATTATAGATAGACAACGTTTGCAAAGCTAACGTATTAGAATGTAAACGATTATTTTGAGAGATTCTGTTTTCACCGGTACGAAAAAAGAGAAGATCGGAAAGACATTCATTCGTTTTTTGAAAATATTTAGATATTGTCATATTTTTTCATCTAAATATAAATAGTTGTTTGTAAGAGAGAAAAAGAGGCTACAATGTTTATTTATTTGTTTTTAGCGTTCTCGAGTTCCCAAGACGTACACGGATGATGTTGTGTGTACAGATGTTTTCGAAGATGTTCAAAAATGGAGTATTGAACAGAAATTATCATCAATCGATAATTATAAAGGAAAATTTGTTGAAGAGTTGACATCGGATGGTAGGGAAAAGAAAAACTATACAATCAAGAGATATGTTATGATTTCAAGCTTTTTTTTTCTTCTAGAATTTAATTTATCTTATATTCAACGAACAGGTTTCGTAAATCCTGTTATTATTAAAAATCATCGTGGACTTGGTTTAAGAATGCCAAGTGAAAATTTTAGTTTAAATGATGTTAGATCATGTGTAGGTAGTCAACGTGTTATCGATGTTATGGATGTTGAAACACAAGAACCATTAACAATGACAATGAAAGAATGGTGTACATATTATAGTGATGAAACAGCAAAATCAAATCGTTTATTAAATGTCATTTCACTTGAATTTAGTCATACGAAATTAGAGAATTATGTTGAATCACCTGAACTTGTACGAGTAGAAAAGACGTTTATTTATTTATTTATTTATTACTATTTTTACATTATAATAGGTACGCCAAATGGATTGGATATCGACTGCCTGGCCATCTTATTGGCTCGAAGTACAAGAATATCAAAATGATTTGAAACATATGTATTATCCCAAAACGAGAAAGTATGCTAAAATTTATTTTTATTCTAATAACTCGATTGAAAAATATTTTTCTTTTTTCAGGTATGCACTGATGAGTGTTAAAGGATGTTTTACAGATTTTCATATTGATATGGGTAAGTTTTTTTATTTTTTGAACTAGTTTCGAGTTATTGTTGTATTGAAAGAAGGGCGTAAAACATTATTACGTAAACATAATAAACATGTCTAGATTATTTGCTATTTTAAATTAGTTCAATTAATCTTATTTCTAGGTGGATCATCTGTATGGTATCATGTTTTAAAAGGAAAAAAAGTAATATTATTCTGAAAATATTTCAATTTTAATTCCTATGTATTTTTAATTTCAGTTCTTTTGGTTAATTCCTCCGACTGATCAACATTTACGTTTATACGAAGAATGGACGTTATCAGGAAGACAAAATGAATATTTTTTTGCTGATTTATGCTGTTTGGATGAATGTCAATTAATAATTTTGGAACCGGGATGGACTTTCTTTCTTCCATCAGGTATTTTATTTTTTGTACTTGAAATACGTTCGTTTTTATACTATAATCATAAATTTTCTTTTAGGTTGGATTCATGGTGTTTATACACCAGAAGATTCTCTTGTATTTGGTGGAAATTTTTTGAATTCTTATCGAATACCAATGCAAATTAAAATATGGAATATGGAAAGAAAAATTCGAGTAAGTTTAGATCTATATTAACAATCGAAATTGAGATGAATTGTTATTCATTGTTTAGGTACCAGAGAAATATCGTTATCCCTATTTTCTTGAGAGTATGTGGTATGTGATTGAACGATATGTACATTGTTTAACCGGTGTAACACATATTGAAGATGATTGGTACGTTTATCTATCATTTCATTGTGAATTGTAAATAGTGATAAACATTTTTGTTTTCAGTTTGGAACATGCCACACAAGAATCAACAACATCTGAAATATCAGTGACAACTTCACCAGGTATATATGATCCATTATTTCTGTTGCTACATTTCTTATTGATGGATGACTGAATCATTTAATATCTATTACTGAAGGCGATCATAGACTCTAAAAATAGTAAGTGATATTTTATAAGAAAATATGTCCAATTGTCACTCTAAGAATTCGATAGAATATATGGTAAACAGTAATGAAAATCGTTATACTAATCTCAAACATAATATCTTTTACTGCTGCCGTTAAACAATTATTGAATGAGGACTATATTATCTTCTTATAGTCGAAAAATGATCCATTTCGATTCAATCGATCAAATATATACGTTTGTAGAGAAATGTCTTCGTTGCAGTTTAATTCGACAGTCAAGAATTTGAGGTACCATAAAATGGAACGAAAAAAAACTTTAATCGATTAAAAATGAGTCCATTTAAAACAGAAAAATAATATTATCGTAACGATGTCAGTTAAGTAACATTATAGTACAGTTTAGTTTTACTGTTTACAATATATATTAGGAAAATTATCGGGCATCATATGATGACGTTCTCCGACTAGTGCATGTAAACATTAACTTCTATTCTTTAAACTATTAATACGTTTTTTTATGGTTTGAGTAGGATAAATAGAATAATTATTTTGTTTTATGTCTTTCTAATAGCCGTTATTTAATTCTTTTTATGAAAACAAAATATATGACTAAAAGTAGAGATCTTCATTTGAAGAAGTCAAGTATCTCCTTTATATAGCAGTCGTTTAGTTTACTATGATTGTTGAATATTTATTTAAACATCAAAGATGTAAACGATTTTTTTTTCTTTTTTCTTTGAGATCTTTTTCTTAATAGTACAAAAAGAAAGGAAAAGATGATGATTTTAGCGGTAAGACGAAAAAGGATATTGTGTGGATGGATGTAGTGTTCTCTTTTCTACCACTATAACAATCGACAAAAAATTGACTATTTGTTTCTTTAATGATTGGACCTTGTATTAAGTTATCATTATTTTTTATTTCTAAAGTTTTCCGGTTTTTCTTTCATCTACCTTTTCTTTCTTAAAAAAAAAGAAAGAAATTATTTAAAAAAAGCGTCATAATTTGATTGTTACATGGATTAGAAAAGAATATTTCTTTTTCATGTTGTGTTAATAGATAAAACGAAATTAAGAGCCATTTAAATAAAGAGTTCTATGTGTTGCTCAATCGGTGTTTAAGTTTCTTGGTCAAAATTTTAGTGAGGGTACAGGCAGCATATCTAGGAAGATTTCCAAGATTTTTTCACTCAAGAGTACTTTCTGTTGGCCGTTTCTCTTAAAAGCCCTAAAAATTGCTAAAATCTATAGAAATTTGCATTTTTGTACGCGTCATATCTTGATCTAGAAAGTCGATCAAAAATTCATATTTGCAGCATAGGCAGTTGAGGTCGAATACTATCTGCACCCAAATCCCGACGAAATGACGAAAAACGAACATCATAAAATATAATCTTGTCATATATAAAATGAAACCTGGAGATTTAGAGAGTCCAGATATACATGTGCCGATATCGCACAGCACATGTGCGAGCTTATGCCGTTGAAAAATGCTTGTTTACGTTGAACAAATGATAGAACAATCGATACATGTTTTATTATAATACCATAGATGTTGATTTAGATGAGGAATATAGGAGTCAAATGAATCAAATGAAACAATTTTTAATTGTTCTACGTTATTATACTTCCTCTTGTAATACTATATGTAATAAGTCAAGTGCATCAACTATTCAACCGAGAAAATTGTAAAAGCATGCTTCTATCAACAGATGAACTATCCTTGTACTTTCGAATAATCGTCGTTGTTTAAGTAGTATGTCAGACGTCTGCGAATGTGACACCGGCGAAAAAGTAAGAATGAATCTTACTGAACTTAAATTAGAAGATCTGCGGGTCAAATTAGAGATTGATTGAACTGGATGGATTAGAAATGAGCTTGAAATTCTGCAAAATGAAGAACTTAGTAACAGAACTGATCGTGCAAGAAATTAATTAAATACTGCACAACAACAAGATAAACTTTGGCAACAATATGCTTTGATGAGAAAACGAGGAGAAAAAGAAGAACTTTTAATAACTGTACAATTGGAACTTGAAAAACAATTTGAAGATAATCTGATACAGTACAAACAGCATTTCATTGTTGATCCTTGTAGTTTATCTAATTTAATTAGTATAAACTACAGAGATGTTAAAATATTATCAATCATCATACGCTTTTCCAATCACAAATAGAAAAAAACCGAAAAGAAATTGCAAGAAATGATATTGAAGGATCAGCAAGGGATATTGCCATTGGAGAGAAGATTTTTAAAAAAGCAACAGCACGAATGTTTTACAGCAGTATCTGCTTTTACACAACAGAGAAGTTCAGATGAAGAAGATAATTTGACGTTAGAAGAAATTAGAGAAAAATTTGAACTACAAAAAAAAGCACATATCAGCATGCGACATGAATCTTTCAGAACTGAATTAGGATACGATTCGTTTCTAAATGAAAACAATTGACTTGTACTTGTTTTACGCAATCCCGTTATTACAAATACATTCGAATGGCAAGCCACGCCTATATCTATGGTTCCAATGGCTGGAACTTTAACTACAACAACATTTCAAACGGTGAGCGAAGACATTTGAACTATTAGATCAAAGTCTCTCATATATTGTTGAACCATTTGACTCTCGTTAACACAGTAATCGACGGCATACTACATCAATCAGCCACCGAAAAGATCGCCGTTAATCAACACACAACTTCGAGACAAAAAGCAAAAAGAATATGAGAGGATACGGCATGGCACGTATGCAATTATTTGAAAAATACACCAAACAAATATATCTTCAACAAGTGCTACTCAATCAACGATAACAACAGTGCCAAATCAATCGTCCATTACGAAGCATATGATCTATTTTGATCAACAAGGATGGTGACTTCGTGCCAGACGTCCAGTAAAACAATTTGGACCAGAAATTAAAAATATTTTTTGCAAAAAGTGTTTGACGGAAAATATGACCGAAATGTATAACTGAGCAGTACTATCAGAAGAGGTTGTTAAGTACATGAGAACAGGAAGAAATTCCGATGGTTCAAAAACCTTCACAACTGATCAATATTTGATAGAAAATCAGGTTAGAAATCAATTCAGCCAACTACACTCAAAAATGGCCATAAATATTTTAAAATTTTCTTTTGCACTAGATTTTTGCGGTTGACCTTAAGTTTGAATACAATAGAGACTCAGCTGAGATACCTACTTAGAAAAATGTGGAAGTTCCTTGTAACTAAAGAATATCATAACGTTTTGTGTGATATTCAAAATCTACAATGGACAAACAAAAGACACACTAGGTAGACACTTTTTCAAGCATATAAGAGTTTCTTTCCAGTGCTATTATGAGATCCCAGACCTTCTAATTTTAGCAGAAAATTTCTGATTTTTGAACTTTTTTGTGCCCTGTTTCTGCCCCTTTCGTTTTTTCTGGAATTTTTTTTCTGATTTTTACAACTCTTGTTTGAAATTGAACTAAAGTTTAACTTGAAGCATGTATCATGTCACAATGATATCATTTTTCATATGAATGAATGATAAGCATTGGACAATAATATTCCGATAATTTGTTCCAAGTCTTTTTGGTACAGATGCTAACCTCAAAACTAAGCAGTTTAATATGTTCAAAGAAGATATAAAATATATGAATACATAAGAGATAATAAGACATTTAGAATTTAAAAAAGATACAATTATTATATCCAGAATGGTATCCAGAAAAGCCGTGTTCTAATTTCGAAGTTTTCGATCTGATATTCGTGATCATGATTCATGTGGTGATTGGACTGAATTATGAAGAAAAGTATTTCATCGACTTGAAAGTCGGTGATTATCGTGAAGCTCATGTCAATATGTTGTTAAAGAATCAACCTTTAGTTAGTTATTGTGAAAAATATGTATTTTGCCAGCGACACCTATAGAAAAATGAAATCATAAAGGCACTACAGATAAAATCAAAATTTTCTCATGTATTAACATGAATTTAGTTAGAAAAAAAAGTGGTTTTATTTTTTGCGTGAACTTCATGATAATCACCATCCTACAATTTAATCTTATTCTCTACATCTCATTTCAATCATATGAGAAGAAAAATCAAAATTTTTATTACGTGTAACATGACATATTTAATAGATATGTAATAATTCATTTTGCTTTTAACACTGTATGTATTATTTAAATTGAATTCCACTACGAATTGCAGATTGACAACTTTGGTTCTTTCTCTCTATGTTGATGAATAATGTTACCCAAAAAAAAGCAACAAGTTTTAATCTAACTAAATTCGAAAAAAAAAGCAACAGATCTTTAGACTTCTAATCATAGCAATATTTATAATTTATGTTTTAATGTTCAATTTTTTGATAAAAAGTGTTGTTTTCTTATTTTGTTATCAATTGTAAAGCACATATTGTTCAACATGATTTGACTCATCTGATTGAAATTTTGCATGTTTCCTTACGATTTTCATTGTAAAGACTAGAATCTCGATTGAAATAATTGTCACGATTATTATTCTATTCTCAATTGTTGTTAGTGTTAATGGTGCTAATCTATACTTGACAGAGAAATAACTCTCATTTTTCTCGTTTTTTTTCTCTTTTTTTTCTTCTCGACTACTATTTATTACTCATTAGAGCAGAGACAGATATCACTTGGTTAATTGTTTGAGTTGTCTTTCTTGTTTAAGTTCATGATTTTTGAGTTCAAACATACTTTTCTTTATCTCTGGTATATGGTAGTAACAGAGAGAGAGAGAGAAAGAGAGAGTGCAAGTATGCCCGAGGGGGGTGAATCTCATGTTATATTCGAAATGTTTAATCATTGAGAAAAACACATATTCTTTCAAATCAAACATGTTAATTTTATTTTATATACTCTATATTGATAGGAAAAATGTTGGAAACATATAGATCTACTTGACTAATGATTATAATTTAATTAGATAAACTACAGAGATGTTAAAATATTATCAATCATCATACGTTTTTT